CAGTGCTCAAAAATTGTCCTGTTTCCCTATTCCTACCTGGAGGTACTGCTCTTAAAAAGACAGGCTCAGGTGTTGTGATTATAAAATTTATCAAATTCTCCCTTCTAATGTTGGTCCATCTATCAATAATAATAGCTAAGCACTCTGCTGATTTTATTTTCTCCTTAGTACAATCCATAACTGTTTCATATTCACTCACTAATAGAGAATTGCGCAAACGATATGATGATGGAGGTTCGTAACCTGGACGTAACAGCTCAATAGCATTTTTCCAATAAGGACTCTCAAAAGTACTAAAGGCCTGACCTGCCATATAAACAGCTCTTGCTAATACTTCATCTAATTGTTGTTTTTGCTTCTCTGTAGTCTTTAAAATGTATTTCCCCATCCCAGCTGGAGCTGATGATGTTGACGTTGAAGAGGCGGCAGCATTTGCAAGTGGATTTGAGGTGTTGGTAACTGATGATGATTTTTGAACCACCATAGCTTCAGGATTATCCTCATCAGAATCAGAGTCAATTTGTACTGACCCTTTTGATTTAGATTTCTGTCAGAGCAGGGTCAGAATAAAATTAGCCTATTTATGTTTACACAATTGAAAGTAATTTATAGTGAAATAAAATTTGTACTCACCTTAGCCTTGAAGTCTTTCTGTGCCTTTATTTTGACAGAATCTGGGCATTTTTTGCATTGATTTGCCAAGTGCTCTAACATCCGGGTTGCATTTGCAAAACTAGATTTTGCTTCACAAAACTTGCATTTTGATGTGGCCTTTTTACCATTAAGGTTCGTGACATCAAAGTAAGTCCGGACCCACGCTTTCTTACGACCAACCATAATTTCATATGGCCTGAAAAATAGAAAATATTGCTTTCAAAAGAATCCAGGCTATGGGCAGGCCATAACCTAACCTCAACATGAGGAGCCACTTCGTCATACGATGAGTTTTAGTATACCAAATAATTATAAAAAGTGCATACATGAGACTGATTAGTGGACTCATTAGGAAAGGGTGTAATGACAATATTTACCTGTCAAAGTAAGCTTTAAAAATATCTCCTCTCAAACTTCCCAGTTCGGACTCAACCCACCAACACACACACACACGTCGATCGTCGCTTTGAAGCCGGTTGTTTTCGTTTTCGAACGCGCTGACAGCGCTGCCTAGCGTCGACGTGCTCAAACAAAAAGAACCGCGCGCGAGTTTGAATGTGTTCCTCAGTCTACACATTGATTTTTCCGTATTAGTGTGCTTGTAGAAAGCGAATAAGACGCAGTTTATCAGAAATCAAATAATAATGACTTCTATGTGTGAAAAACTACTTAAAAAGACATAGAGA